CGCTCCCCCCCCCCCCGGCAACCGGCGCCCCCGCAGCGCAGGGGAACGAAGCACAGGACACCCTCGGGACGCCAAGGCGTTTATTTGCAAAGGTTTGAATAGTCCCTGCTCTGTCAGCACTTCTGGGAGTCATCGTCTACAAGAGGCAGTTCCTAGATGTCCAATGTGAAGACACGTTTTAGATATATATTCATTTCTCCTGCATCTATGTACTTGAAGAATTAACCTTAAGAGATGTAGCCCAAGAGTCAGTGTTGGGTATCAGAGAAAACCCACTCTCAGCAGCTACTGTTCAGTACCGTGTAAATCTGTACACAGCTTAGGTCCAACTGAAAGATGGAAATAAACAAAAAAATACTTCCTCTTCTGCAGTGTACCGTTTAAAAAAAAATGCTTTTACTGCTTTCCTCACCCATGCTGTCTCTTAGCATCTCTTCCTAGGGCCATTACTCAGCTATTAAAGACACAAGGCAAACGCACACATTTTGAGGCCTTAGTTTATGCTTGCAGGAAGGTGATACACACTCCTACTTGCTTGTGAAAAGTCAAATGTGTTCTGAAAGAAATGATTTCCAATTCCAAACTCACAAAAGACTAAGAGAAGTTTTTGCCTAGTAGAGGAACTTCAGATTTTCATTATTTTCAAAACAACGGGTGAGGTAACTCTGACATTACATACAAACTATACATAGATAAACTTACAATTGCTATGTGGAAAGAGCTAAGCCTACAAAATCTTAACAAATACCGTTCTGTTCAAAGACATATTTAACTTGTCTCTTCTACTGCCTCTCCTTGATTCTGAAGAAAGCACAAGTTAGGTTTTTAGAAGCTTATCATACGTAATTGGACTGAGTACAAAAGCAAATGTACAAGATTTTGTACTGATGGACATCGGACGTGACAATTGGTAAGCAGTCAGCCCTTCCACAGCATTTAAGAGCAGTTCCAAATTAACTACTCTCGTCATTTCTAAAGCAGTTGGATGGGAGCAGAACGACTACCTTTGAACTTCTGTTCTTCTGAAGAACTGAAATTTTGGGGTGACAGCACTCAGTATTAATCTGCATTATCTATTTGGAGCTTTAAAATTGTGTATTTTCCTTTACCAGTAGAGTTTGATCATCCTCCATTCCCTGCGTTCGCCATATTCAAAGGGTCACTCAGAAAGCGGAATGTGAGTTCTGCACAGGAACAACCATTTTTCTGAGTGAGAATTAAAACCCAGAGTCTGAAAATGAGACCCGAGTGCTTCTCTGCTGACTATAAGGGCCCTCTAGTGGCTTAGGCATAAAACTGATAAAAACTTCTTACAATCTCTGCCATGTACATTTCACTGAGGAAGACTCAGCTGAATGAACGTTAGGGAGAAAATGCTTTCCAAGGATTATATAAAGCAGTGGACTTGTCTGGATGCCATCTCACAGATACCATGACAAGAACAGCACATTACTCTCTTTTACTCATTAAAAATACATTAGAAAAGAGTTAAGGTATAAAATACAAAAATTACACACAAGACATCTCCTATAATTTAGCCGAAGATTGTAAATGCTTCTGTGCAATACAAACCTCTCTTGAAGGATCCTTTTCTCCATATATTCGTCTATGTTCATGACTGCGAGGCATCCCCAAAAGAGCGGATGAACACTTTGAACACTTCAGGTAATACAAAAATGCATCACTGGAGTGAACTGCTGCGAGCAGATGACACCTGTGTGCTGACTACTTGGCTGCATCCAGATAAAATTCAAGGTATTGGTTAAAACCAAGCCTCGGTTTAAAATCTTGAGGCCTCTCTTTCTTCTCAACAGTTACATAGCTGAAGAAATTGAGGCTGAGAAAGTTCCACTAATAGTTTTCACTTTGTTTTAAAAGATAACCAGCACTGCACTCTGTCAAGTTATTTTGGTGATGCTGGGGGAAAGTTATGAGTCAAAGAGGCTAACAACATAAATAAATACCATCAAAAGCCAGTCACAGTTGCAACACAGACTAGTTAAAATTTCTCAGAAACATTGATACTGAATTGATTTCTCATGCAGTAGAATGAACACGGACATCAAACACATTTTTACCCATGAATAGAACCTCTATATTCAACCAAATCCAAAATGATTCCAAAACTGTTCCTTAGGGTTGGCATATAGAACAATTTCTGCAATTTTTCTATTCAACTCCTCCTACGTTTTGTTTAGGAAAAAAACACCATCTTTGAAATTTTAATTTAAAAAGCATTTTGTTGGAAAAAATAAAGAGAATCACATGTTTTTCATCATCTTTGTGTATTTCTCAAACAAACTAAATGTAACAGTGAGGAAAAAATGGACGCTGTTTTCAAACTTAAAACAGTATAATACTTTGCTCAACTTTATAAAAATGAGAATAAAGAAGTGAGATTTCAAGTAACCTAGACAATCATGACATTGGCAGACACGTCAAGAGCTGGGAATGACTAAAACTGCACAGTCTTAAGTCTGTGGTCTTCCATTATGCTGCAATTCTACACTGAATACTAAGCACCATACTCTAAGCCAACCAAAACAATTTAAAGTTCTCTATTTGAGTAACGTTGAAATGATTTTACTTTGAACATTTTGGCTCAGGAGCCTAAAGGCTTACTTCCCCAAGCAGCAAGCAAACCAGCATAAGCCATGTAATTATACGACTGACTGAAGAGGATGAACGTGTCCTGTCCCTTTAATATTTTAGAGCTTGTACTGAAGAACAAGCCACAATCCCAGGGCAGTATTTTGAAAGCATTATGGTCTTTTACTTTACAGAAAAGTTATGTTTCCAGCCAAAAGTCTCTTCCAAGTTAACAGACATGTTTGTGGATGACTTTCAAGATCCAAATAACCTAGTGGACGCAACAGAAAAAAGTAGATGAGAATTGGGTACAACCATTAATAGTCATAGCAACGCCATTCCAGCTGGGTGAAACACTAGCATACATCTGGGCATCAGTTCTGCCCTCCCATACATCAGAACATACAGCTACATAAGTGCAAAAGAGGAGATATTTGCTAGCCTGCCTATCAGGACTTACATCTGTGGTTTCCAGAGACTATTTGCAAAGCTGATTCCATTCTGCTACTTGGGAGGACTTTTACCGTTTTCTTAAATTTAGGGAGGGAAAAGTTACACTGAAATGCTGAACCAAATGATGATGCATCTAAGCAACACACAGCGAGAAACCCTATAACTAAGACTAAATGACTTACAAACCAGCAGAGAGATTTTTGTGTACTACAGGTTGAACGCATTAGCAAAAAAATTGTGGAGTCAGTCAAGTCTTTGAAGATCAAAGTAGACATAAGTAAAATGAAAAGTAGCTAAGGAACAAGTGGAGAGAGGGAGAGAGAGAGAGACAGAGAGACAGAGAGAGGGATAAGAAAAAAAGGTAGTTGCAGTAACTCCCCCCCCCCAAGTATATAACTTTGGATAAACAAATGACAAGATGCTGCACAGCTCTACTTACACAATCATGCAGAACATCATGAAGACGTTCCACAAGGCAATGAAGATTCGAAAATATCTGAGACTCAGCAAGAACTCTCTGATGTTGTCACCTGAAAATCAGGAGAAGAAACTTTTGATGTGAAAAACGCCTTGTACGTCAATAATTCACATTTTCAGCTGGAAAACACAAGCAACTCTCAGTTTAAAATAGAAGGAAAAAAAAAAGTCAGTGAGCAAAAAAAGACAATTGAAAATTTAGGCAACAACGATCCATACTACATGTAGTACATCCCTACCATGAACTTCTGGGAAAATACGTGATAAAAAGAGGTCACTGTAGTATTAGAAAGAGAGGACAGTCCTTTGTGGTAGTCTGCAGCTTTCCTGTCACTTTAATCATTACAGCAGTAAGAGATACAAAGGAGCAACGCAGGTGCATGAACAGTGATATGGAAATCAGGCTGCAAGTACAGCATTACCTCTGCAGCACAGGCACCTAAGCTCAAGAATGCAAAAAGAAATATACATTTTTATGTTTCTTCTTGAGTCACAGACTTGGGATTAACAGTTTTGGCTGTGGTGCCTAAACGTAAATGTCATCGAGTCAAATTTTAAGCCGCAATTTAGTAAACCAGTCATTCCAGCCACAGGGTAACTCCTGTTTGAACAAAACAGGGCAAACTTGTACTTTGGTGCCTTGAAAACGCTTTAAGCAAGAATTTTTCTGCGGAAAACGTCCCTTCCTGTATGTGCCTATATAATTTTGAGGCGAGAAACGCTCTTGTGAGTAACAGCGCGGCACTGGCAGTCACGCAGAGCCGGGCCCCCCGCCTTCCCAGGCCGGTTACCAGTCGTCGGCTCCCTGGACTCTTCGCCGAAGCCCTCCGTTTCTTTCTTCCTCCTGCGGGACGGCGACACAGGCGTTACCCCTCCCAGCCGGGGCGGGGGGACGTGCCGGCGGCGAGGAGGAACATGGCTGCTCCCCTGAGGCGGCAT